GCAGCAAAAGGAGCAGCAAAAGGAGACAAAAGGAGCAGCAAAAGGAGAAAAAGGAGCAGCAAAAGGAGAAAAAGGAGCAGCAAAAGGAGCAGCAAAAGGAGATTTTCCTCGTCGTTTTCCTCTGTTTTCCTCGTCGTTTTCCTCGTCGTTAAGGAGACAAAAGGAGCAGCAAAAGGAGAAAAAGGAGCAGCAAAAGGAGAAAAAGGAGCAGCAAAAGGAGCAGCAAAAGGAGAAAAAGGAGCAGCAAAACGCACCACTTTTGTTCAATCCTCTGCTGTGAAAACGCATGCCAAGACGCGAAGTGTCTCTTCGGGAAATCAGCAGCAAAAAGAGCAGCGCCGTGCTGCTGCTGTACAGACACCCCGCGCCCACGTACCTGCGCAGCAGCAGCAGCAGCAGCAGCAGCAGCAGCAGCAGGTGTGGCCGCTGCTGCAGCAGCAGACGCGGAGAAGCAGCGAAGGAAGAGAAAAAAGAACAAAAAGATTAAAAGAAATAAAAATAAAAGAATTAAAAAGAATTAAAAAGAATTAAAAAAATTAAAAAGAATTAAAAGAAATTGAAGAAGACTAAAAAGAATATAAAAGAAAGAGACACAAGGAGACAAAAGAGCTGCAGCAAAGAAGCTGCAGCAAAGAAGCTGCAGCAAAGAAGCTGCAGCAAAGAAGCTGCAGCAAAGAAGCAGCAGCAAAGAAGCAGCAGCAAGAAGCAAGAGCAAAGAAGCAAGCAAAGAAGCAGCAGCAAAGACGCAGCAGGAAAGAAGCACCAGCAGCGAAGCAGCAGCAGAGTAGCAGCAGCGAAGCAGCAGCAACAACGCAGCAGCAGCGAAGCAGCAGCAGCAGCAGCAGCAGCAGCAGCAGCAGCAGCAGCAGCAGCAAAGGAGACACTTTACTCACCCCTGAATTGCCCGCACCCCCACTGCTGCTGCGTGCTGCTGCAGCGGCAGCAGCAGCTGCTTATTCCAAAAGAATCGGTTTTGCTCTTTGTCTCTTTCGGAGTCTCTCTTGGCCTCAGCAGCAGCAGCAGCAGCAGCAGCAGCAGCAGCAGCAGCAGGGGGGCTGTGCTGCTGCAGCTGCTGCTGCAAAGAGACAGTCAAGTCAAAAGTGGGGGAGAAGTAAAAGCCCCCCATGGCGAGGGCCTCGTAGATCCAGGGCAAGTACGGGCTGCCGCAGTCCACGCTGCTGCTGCTGCTGCTGCTGCTGCTGCTGCTGCTGCTGCTGCTGCTGCTGCTGCTGCTCTCTGGCCCAGCAGCAACGAGCTGGGTCACATAGATGTCTGTTGCCAAGGCGTTTCCGAGCCTCAGCGGCAGCGGCCGTCTAACTTTCACAGTGCGCAGCGTCCACGCCTGCTGCTGCTGCTGCTGCTGCTGCTGCTGCTGCTGCTGCTGCTGCTGCTGCTGCTGCTGCTGCTGCTGCTGATTCTGCTGCTGCTGCTGCTGCTGCTGCTGCTGCTGCTGCTGCTGCTGCTGCTGCTGCTGCTGCTGCTGCTGCTGGACCCTGAGGTCCACAGCTCTGAAGGACTTCACTGCCAGAATATATCCGTCTCCAATTCTGCCGAGACACTCGGCGGATTCCACCAGCAGCAAACAGCCCCCTTGCTGCTGCTGTACGTACACCCCAAACACCCCCCAGCAGCTGAAGCAGCCGACGCTTTGCCGCGTCTGCGCAGCAGCAGCACCAAGGAGGGTCAATCAGCAAAGCAGCATTCATCTTTTCAGAAAAGCATCAAGTGCCCTGCTGCTGCTGCTGCTGCTGCTGCTGCTGCTGCTGCTGCTGCTGCTGCTGACGGCGCTGCAACAGCTGCCTTTGCTTCCGCCACCGTCGCTGCTGCAACGATTTCTCTTGCTGCTGCTGCTGCTGCTGCTGCGACTGCTGCTGCTGTCCCTGCGGCTGCTGCAACAACTGCTGCCGCCGCCAGCACCGCAGCTGCTGCTACGGCTGCTGCTGCTGCTGCTGCAACAGCTGCTGGTGTCAATGTGGCTGCTGCAGGCACTGGCGATGGCGGTGCTGCTGCTGCTGCCTCTGCTGACGGCGCTGCTGCTGCTGCTGCGGCTTGCCTTGGGCAGCAGCGTCTGTGATGCTGCTGCTGCTGCAGTTGCTGCTGCTGCAGCTGCTGGCGTTGGCGCTGTGGTTGCCGATGTTGCTGCCGTCGCCGCCGCCGCTGCTGCTGCTGCTGCAGTTGCTGGGTTTGCTGCTCCCGCAGCAGCTGCAGAGACGGCTGGAGCTGCTGCTGCTGCTGCTGCTGCTGCTGCTGCTGCTGTGTGCCCCCCGTGGCTCACAAGGTGCGAAGGAAGAAAGCCAGGCTCCCAAACTCCGGGCGAGTTGCTTTGGGGGGAGGCAGGTGTGTCTTGTGCTGCTGCTCCTGCTGCAGTTGCTGCTGCTGCTGCTGCTGCTGCTTGTCTTTGCCGTTTTTTGCTTCTGTCTCTTTTGTTTGCACTGCGGTCAACCGGAAATACCTTCAGCGAGTCATTGGAGCTCTTGTTGCTGCTGCAGCAGCTGCTCGC